TGGAACGGCCTCTATCTTGAGGAGACCGAGAAGCGCCATGATGAAGTCAACAGCTGCTTCGATGTTATCCTCAACTTTGGCGGTTTCATGTACATTGGTACAATCATCCCTTGGAGGGAATTCCAACTTCCAGATGTCACTGGTATCACTGTTGGACGACTCATGATTCTCGGGTTCCTGGTTCTTGCTTTTCGCCGTATCCCTGCCATTTTCATGGTGTACAAGGTCATGCCGGAAGTCATCAAGGACTGGAAGGAGGCACTGTTCATGGGTTATTTCGGACCCATTGGTGAGTTCACTTGCATACCAAGGATGGATCTTGCTAACACACCTTAGGTATCGGAGCCGTCTTCTACGTCGAGCACACGCGCCATCTGTTCCCCAAGCCTGGAGAGGCCGAGACAGAAGAGGAAGAGAACCTCTTGGCTGCCATGGTCCCTGTCGTTTATTTCCTCGTTATTTTCTCTATTGTCATCCACGGGCTCTCCATTCCAGCCCTTGATGCATTCTACCGCTACAAGAACATCCAACCAATTTCCGAGGCTGAACCAGCAGAGATCCGCTCTCTGTCAGTCCACGAGGCACTTCCCAACAACGCCCGCATAAACACGAAACGCAACTCCATCTACGTGCACAACCGCTTTTCCAGGCCGGTTTCTACGGGTCCTGATCCGGAATTGTATAGGTGGAATAGTCAGGTGAGGGATAGCGATGCCACGTATAGGGTTTCTTCACAGCCCCAAGGCGAGGACTACGCTCAGAAGCTGCAGAATATTCGATTTGCAGAAGACTATGCTCATGAGAAAGCCAATCTGGGCTAGTCAGATAGCAATAGATTAGTAAAGGAAGGGGAGAGGGTGATTTTTGGAGATTCTAGGTTATCACGGTGTTTCATCAGTTGCTTCCACGGTGATCAATAGCCATCACCATCACGCGTCATGCCACTCATTAAGTGTTTTATTGTTAAATAGACGGACATTGAAATAGGTAATCGCAACACTGCATCGACATGTCTAGCTAGCCATGCCACGTACAATCATTTCTCACACCCCATTTCCCATCCTTCAACTACCGCAACAAGTCCTTAGCCTTTGAGAGATAATCCGAAATCAAGCGAACATCCAAAGTCAAGACCACCCGCTCAGCACCCAACCCCCTCTCCTACACGCCCCTTCCCTTCCTTTTCCCATGCTTTTTCCTTCTCATCCAGCATGCCCAGATACGATTATCAAGCGCCCTAGACATGTCGTCGAGCACGAAACATGCCAAGGGCGCCGCGATTCCACTGCCAAGCACGCGCTCCCGTTCTATCCGCGCCGTTCTATCCGCGCAGCCCTATCGCTTGCCATTCCGCTCCACTCTTTTTTGCTGGTCTTTGGTTTCCTCTTCATTTCGGCGGGCTTGTCGTTTGCTCCTGCATAGAAGATACGCCGAACGGGCTGTGTGTCAGGTTTGTCTTATAGTATCCTGCTGACGTAGGGCGAGGAGGGGTGTAGGTGGATGCTCGCGGTGTGGGAGGAAGGAATGTATAGGGACGTGCGTTGTCCTCTTGGCGCTCCGCTCCGCTCGGTGGTGTAGCGGAATGCTGGGTAGCGGAAGGGGATAGGAGAATGGTGAAGATGGGGATTTCGGGATTTTTTTTACATTTTCATTCACTTTCACGTCTCTCTCCTGCATTGATACGAATCTTTCCTTTCATTAGATAAATTATTGAAGGTTGAAGGTTGAAGTCCTTAGCTAACGATCAAGGAAATGATCCGGAGTTATTGGCGTGGCGAGTGGTGTTGTGACAAAGACCAGTTAACAACAAGGACACATAATCAAGAGTGTGTCCATTGACTTTGTAGTCAAAGATTGAATGGCCTTGTATGTATGACTGGAGACATATGACTTTTTAAGTATGTTATGGGTTCGGAATTTCGAGGCAACTCAATGCGATTGAATAAGTTGGCTATGGTATGATTTTTGAAGAAAATCGAGATTATGATCTCTTTTCCAAGTCATATTGTCGCTGATCATCGACCGACTCGATTTTGTATATGGCAAGATTGAATACAATCCCCCAAACTGTACATCTTTTCCAGGATCGTAAATGCGCCTCGTTCTCTTTTCTTCTCCATTATTGATTTCTCAATTCCTCGAACCATTGTTCATTTCAAAAGTAGGTAGTTCTGCCGCGTCCCTATCCGCAGGTACCTCTGCGATAGGTCTAGTGACTCCCCCATACTTTTCTGAGGCTGGTGCTTCCGCACATTCTCGGTTCACATTCATTTCTACTGTATGAGGGCTTGCATATACGGGTGATGCGTTGAATGAGTTCGCTGCTTCGTAGGCGTTGCGCTTGCTGCTCTTTCTCCATCTCCATAGGAAAAAGCCAGCAAAGCCAAGGAGAGCTAGACCACCAATAACCCCACCTACGATACCTCCTATCGCACCGCCAGAAATTCCTGAGTTATCGTTCTCGGCAGGAGATGAAGTAGATCGCGATTGGCTAATCGAAGAAACGGCGGTTTGTGAGGAACTGACTGTGGAAGTTGTGATAGTTATGAGTGAGGCGGTAGAAGCCGAGATTGGCGTACTCGGGGTCGCCGACGATGAAGCAGTAGTGGTAGACGTCGGTTTTTCTAGATCAAGCAGTTTGACGGGGTATGAAGCTGCAGACGGGCTAGCTGACGCAAGAGATTGCGCAGTGTCGTTCACAGTAGTTGCATCCAGCGAAGCGAGCGGGTTGACCAGGCTACTCCAGCAAATGTTGACTTGATTTAGTGTCTCGGTACAGATCTCACTAATTCATATCAGTTCTGTGTGAAATGTAGTTGACCGAGTGGAAAATTGTTGGCTGACCTGGACTTCAAACAGCAAAAGGCATTTATACCAGATCCACATGAACGCTGGTTGCCCGCAGGTGTCGTGCGGTCTCCTCCATCACAACCTTCACTGGGTCCCCAGCAAACCGCATCCTTGGAACCAGGAATACAACAGTAGTGTTTAGATGTTCGCTCATCAAACGAGCAAACAGAAGGAGGAGCGCATTCGAATGGTGAACCGGGGCACTTCCTCAGTGCGCTGGAGCTCCCATTGTTGCCTGCGAAGAAGAAGTCGGTGAATGCGGCGCGCACTGGTAACAGATGGAGAAGTACAAGGTATGCAGTTGAGAATGTGATCCTGTGCATTTTGTGATACGGCTACTGCAGGACTCTGGAGTGGGTTTGTTGGAGGGCCTTAGACGCGTCTGTGACAACCAGTGATGTTGAAAAACATATCGAGAAGGTCCGTGATTTGAATCTTTCATGGTGGAAATATCAGGCCTTCCACGATCTTGGTAAATCTCCGATATGCAGCTGTAGAAAGCCAATCAAACGAAGCTGGTGTTACTACAATTCGCCGACATCTGGGGTAACCGTATAACGGTTAGGACGCTGATCACTACTGTACGAACTTTCTGGCCATGCCTTATGAGGCAAGGGACAAAGGATGAACGACCACACAACAATAAGTTAGACGGCTACGCAGTGAGTAGGGGTTCTCTCGTGTGTGACGCTGCTTATCTCTAGATAGGCTAGGCGTGTAAAATTACCCCTATCACACCTAGCGCTGTAATTTAAGCCCCCTTTCCCTTCTCTCTTTTATCCCTACACATATTCTTCTACTGTCTTGTTTGCCCTTGTGTGTTCTTCCTATCTCTCTTTTTTCTCTTCATCTTTACTTTTATCCTATTTTTTTTAGAATAGTAGTAAAGGAGAGAAGTAGGAAGAAAGGTATGGGGGAGAGACGCGTATTTCCTCTCTTTCTTACCTACGCATTCAGTTATGGTGGTTTTGTTGAGATCCTGAGCTAAGCAGGGGGACCCTGCTTGTGGGGATGACATTTGCTTGTCATAGGGTTGTTCAATAACCTTTGCCCGGAATATCCCAGAAATGGGGCCTGAGCAAGGCGCAGTCAACGTGGAGGAGTTAGAGCAATTATTTCAATGGAGAACTGAAATGGTGCCCTGAGTGTTCAGATCGTTGATACCAGGGGCGATGGAGGCCGCGCGAGACGGGCGCTTGTATGCGTGAAGTACTCCCTGTACGCCCTTCTTGGCCTCCTCGGCCTCCGTCTCTAGTTTCGGCCTTGACTTGGTTGCCTAGTTTTGGGTATGGTAGCAACCGCCATTTTGGCTTGTACTCTATTGTATCCTCGTGAGAAAGCATGAGCAGCTGTATTCGGGAAGCGTGTTGAGTCTCATCCTGAAATGTCGGACCCTGCTGTTAGAAGTGCAAAAGATTGAACGATACAAGCCGTATTCAAGGGCATGGCAATATGCTTTCAAGCCAGGTGGTCATCCTCCCTGGCCAATGTATTCGCAATTTCTTGTCCATGTGTTCCTTCCGATAAAAAGAAAATATATCGTCCAAAATAGCGCGTATATGAGGCAAAAATGTAGATATAGAAGAGTCTCGTTGTCCATATATACTACCGCGTATCGCCATGCTATGGATTCGAAGAATGACCAGAGAGTAAATTCCCTGAGCAAAAAACAAAATAAAACTATAAAGCGCCTTGTGCTACAGTCTCATACACCAGTGACTGCATACTAGAAGTGTAGTGAGAAACAGATGGCAATGATGTCACACCCCGTGTTCGCGCGTCAAACGGCGCGTCGCCTGATCACCTCCACCACACAGCGATGTTCAAATACTCCAACCCCAGTAATTTCTTCATGGCATCGAGATCTGAAATTCTTTTGCATCAGAGTGGAGTGAGGGTAGAAATCGCACACGACCGACATATGCAGATATGATTCATCATGACATCAACACCAAATACTAGCGTGGGTACTCTGCTAGCATGGCATTCTAGTAACACATCCATCATACTTTAAATGCACGACAACCCCATCTCCAAAGATATTCTGCTACTCTAATCAATCAAAGAAGTCTCTAAGATCAAATCACACCACTCGATTCTTCAACTTTCCCCAACCAAACCACCACTTCTCCCCTACTAAATCCTCCAAAATGCCCCGTATGGTTGCACCCCCGCCATCAGGCGAATTTCAAATCGTCCTCAGCAAGCCCTTTAATGGTACGTCAGATTTCTGACTTGCAAAACATCATTCCGACGTAACTCACCAAAAACCCCACCCCCATCCAGGCGCCCCAACACACATGATCGAGGTAATCGGCGAGCCCAACCGCTCCGCCAGCATCCGCCTCTCCAACTACAACGGCGGCAGCAAGTCGTCTGAGAAAAAAGGCGACGTACCCCAGTAAGTCCCTTTTGCTTCCCCTCTTCCCTCTCACCAAATCTAATTCCACTCCTTCCTCCTTACACAGAGACGACGTCCGCGAACTCATGTCTCTCGTCTCCACGCTGCGGGGCTTCCCCTCACACCCGAGCAAAGATATTTACGGACTGGACACCAAAGTTGATTTCAACACGATGGAGGTTCAGTGGGGAAACCAGGATGAGGATCCTGCGATGGAAGGGGGAGAGGTAGCGGGGGAGCAGAAGGATGAGTTTAAGAGGATTGCGGAGAGTATTGAGGCGTTGGCGAGGCAGTTTGCTAAGCAGGATTCGGCGGTGTAGAGGGTGTTTCTTTTTACAAATGATGATGTGATGAATGAATGAAAGTAATATTCGAATTCGATGAGGAATGCAAAGCGGTCGTTGTGCTATGGAAGATAAGTGACGTTGAGCTAGTTGACTTGATTGCACTGATGGAGGATATGTCAGTTATTCACGATAGTGGGGAAGCAAGGTGGTATTTGATCAAAGACGTTCACTAAAAGGCCATACTGCGTCCAATGACATACATTATGCTATTCATCAAACAGTCGCGTCCTCAGGAGCTTCATTTCGAACAAAACAACCATTATTCAATCATATCTGCATATAATCATGCCGACACATCTAGATCTTGTACACAATACCACCAGAATACATGATCTTGTTCCTCTCACTAAGCGCCTCGAGCGCCTTCTCGGCTTCTCCTTGTCCAAATGGCTCCCTTCCACTGCCGCCGCCCAGTCTTGCGTTCACTGCAGCGACAAGAGGCTCCACATCTGCGGCATCATTCGCGAACAATGGGCCATCAATAAGTTGACCGAGTGCTGTTTGGAAGACTTGTAGACGAGCAGGAGTGATCTCCTGGGATTCTTGGGACTCGGGTTGAGTAGGGGGAAGCTGAGATTCGGGCTGTGATGAGGCAACGCTGAATTGTGACGAGGGTTCGCCACGGGTAGACTGCGAGCGGTTGGTGGTACGTTGCGTCTTTGGTGTGACCCTGTACAGATCTTGGTTCGCTTCTTCGTCATCGTCGTCTTCACCATCTCCTGCAGCGGGAGTGCGTGTTGCACCTGTCTGCTGGCTTCTAGTAGATGGTCCGCCGGCCCGTCGGGACTGTGTAGCCTCGGCTTCATCACCGTCATCTTCATCGCCCGATGATCCTTCGTCTGTGGACATGGCGTCTGGGTCGCGAGCTGTACGTCTTCGTTTGCGACGGTCATCCTCGACAACTTCCTTGAATAGAGCGAATCGTAGAATTTGCTCTGCGACATCGGCATCTTTCCGCTCAACTCGCTTCGATAAGCGTGCTTTTGCGTGCGCAGTAGAAAGACGGATGAGTGTTTCAAGAGTACGCGCAGTGATGGGGGAAGTACGACGGGTGCCTGCATCAAGCTCGTCGTTGCGAAGCGCAGAGTATACGCTTACAATGTGATCTGCAGCACCCTTGGTGAGGATGGGCTTCTCACGCTTGGCGTACTGGATGTACTTCTTGATGAATGGGATACTGAGGACTTCGGTCCTCCGCGAAGCGCCCCTTCCCACAGTAATGGTAACTCCAGAGTGTAACATGGGGTTGAACTTTTCGTACACTTCGGTTGGACGGTTGGCGTCGCCTTCAGTCTCAAGACCAACGCCTAGAAGCTGAGCACCCTCCTCGCGAACAGGCGCACCCTCCTCAGTACCAGGCTGGCGATATCGATGCATGCGAAGGACGTGTTCTGACACCTGTCTGTCTCGAGCGTCCTCGATGTCATCTGTAACGACGAACAGCAAATCGAAACGCGAAAGGAGGGAGTCTGGCAGGGCGATGTTGCGGTGAGGATCCTTGTGAATATCGTATTGCCCAAATATAGGGTTGGCGGCAGCAACCACACTGCAACGAGCGTTGAGAGACGTGTGAATACCTGCTTTGGCAATGGTGACAGTTTGCTGCTCCATAACTTCGTGAATCGCGACTCGGTCGACATCGGACATTTTGTCAAATTCATCGATACAGACCACGCCACGATCTGCAAGGACCATGGCACCAGCTTCCAGTCGTCGCTCGCCTGTTTCTTTGTCTGAAGTAACAGCTGCTGTGAGACCGACACCAGAAGATCCACGACCGGTCGTGGCAATGGCAAGAGGAGCGGTATTCAGCACGAACCGAAGTAGCTGTGACTTGGCCGTAGAAGGGTCACCAACCATTAAAATGTTGATATCTCCTCTCAGATGGGTGCCGTTTTCTAGGTTCTTCTCTTGTCCTCCAAGGAGGAGGAGTAATATGGCCTTTTTGATGTAGTCGTGTCCGTATATGGAAGGAGCAAGCGATTGTGATAGAAGCTCAAATACACGCCTGTTCTTCGCAATCTTGTTGATATTGCGGATGTCGGTGTCAGTGATGTTGACCTGGGCAATTCCTCCACCTGATTTGGAGGATAGCAAGATGATGTTGTTTGCAAGGATTAGTGTGCGGAAAGTCGAACTGCCTGCTCCCGCGTTACGGTTACCAAGCGATCGGTAGATACCGACTAGCTGGATGCGGTCGCCGGGCTTGACTCGGTCTACAAGGTCGTCATCCAAAACCACATCGACAGATCGTGGCAACTGTCCAGCAGGGGCACGCTCGGGCATTTCTTGGATGGATATGGTCTGGTGATCGCGGTAGGTGCAGTAGCCGTACTCAGTCACAAGGGGATTGCCCTCTTCGTCTTCTGTAGGGTATACGCTTGTGCTTGCAGCGCCCGTGGTCATGGTCTGGTCTCTGTACTCTCTCGCATGAAACCTTTGCTTGACCTCGTTGTAATGCACACTCTTGACAACCTTTGGGCGGACAAGAGAGGTCTTGGTAACAATTCCTTCGAGCGAAACCATGTGGTTGAGCTGATTGGAGCCGAGGGTACGCGGGTTGCAAGAGAACTCGCCGAAGCTGCCGACGTAGGCACAATAGTACATGACATCTTCAGTGGTCTCCGACTTGGGTCGGTCTGCAAATGTACGGATAACATCTTTGAGGGCCCGGTCAAAGGCTTCCGCGAATTCGAAGGGCTGATTGAGGAGGCCGTCGGCGAGTTCACGGTCGTGGGTGCGGATTTCGTCTATGCTAACCTGGATGCTGTTAGTATGCAAAATTTTAGTCCCAGGCTCTGTCTCACTTACAGTGAGTCTTCGTTGTCCCCTGTTGAGCATCACCAGAATGTCTGGTCGGTAGCTGTAAAGGTAGCGGTCAGCAGCCGCAAACCTGATGAGCAAGCAATTGCAGCATACCTTCGCCTGGATACATCGTCTGCACTTGTATCAGCATCAGGGCCATTTTAATGCTTTGTCCAACGTACCTGGGTCAAGAAACTCCTGCGCAAGTCGCACGCGCCGGCGCACCTCTTCGTCCCTAATAACTTCGGCCATGTTGTTTGTTATGCTTTAAGGACCAGGCGAATGTAGTAGTAGTAGAGAGGCACAAAATCGTGTATGCTGGCCTAGACTGAGCCAAAGAGTATTTCGCCTGGCAGTTGTCTCGACTGTCTATTGTTTTGCGCTGTTACCCCGGTGAAGTTACGAGGGGCAGATTCAGCCAGGGAAAGCGCGATCGCGTCCACGCTAGTCTGTTTCCGTCACGCGTGTCCCGTCTCATTATCTCTCCTCTTCCAGCCTAGCACTCTGCGTCCCCTCATCCCCTCACTTGTAAATACACATCCATATTCGAGTATCGTCTGCAGCCCATCCCTTCGGTATTATGGCTATTCTGTAGCTTACCAATCTACTTCAGATACATCAGACTCGCTATTGCATGCAAACTAATATCAACTCTCATGCAACAATTTTCCAATTGAAAAGCTGCATCTTCTCTTTGATCTTGCTCACTCACACCTCTAGTTTATCGTGCCTTTTAGTTGTCAAAGCCATCTTCATTCCGATGCCAATTCATCGGCATGGTCGACACTATGTCACTGACAGGGCGTTTCCGATACTGCATAGGACTAAGCTTAACACCAACTAGCTGGCCCCGCCAACATCATTGGCGCCCTCTATACAGGCTGACGTAATTGATCACAGCAATTGACTGACTTCAGATACCCTCCAACCCCTCAATTGGACTCCCCAAGATCATTGCTCAACACCAGCAGCATGGCCCCTCGCGTGTTCCTCATCACTGGCTGTTCAACCGGATTCGGTGAAGAGCTCGTCAAAATCGTCCTTGAAAAGGGCGATTACGTCGTTGCTACTGCACGCAACTCCTCCAAGCTATCTTTCGAGAATGCAAATGAATCCAACAGCTTGCTTGTAGATCTCGACGTGACCAAAAAGGATTCTATTGACAAAGCTTTCGACGCTGCAATCACCAAGTTCAAGCGTGTGGATGTGGTCGTCAACAATGCTGGATATGGCTTAATGGGCCCATTTGAGACGTTGTCGGAGAAGCAGATGAGGCAACAGATGGAAATCAACTTTTTCGGTCTGATTGACGTGACGAGGAAGGCGATGGAGACCATGCGCGAATTGAAGACTGGAGGCGTCATCCAGCAAGTTACCTCTATTGGTGGCCAGATTGGTTGGTACATTACCACCCACACAGTTAGAGCTACAACTAATGGAGTGTAGGTGTTCCCAATTTCTCCATTTATTGTGCTAGTAAGTGGGCGGTTGAGGGTTTCACGGAAGCCATCTCCAAAGAAGTGAAGCCAGAATGGGGAATCAAGTTCACATGTATTGAGCCTGGGTAAGTCTCTGGTACACAAACTAGTTGTGCGACATGCGCTAAATCTTGTGCCTTCACCTTTACAGCGGCTTCCGAACAGATTGGTCCGGCCGTAGTATGGACTTTGGCGAAATCGCACACCCAGCCTATACCCATGTCGATCCGAAGAAGCTAGCCCAAGCGCGCCATGGAAGCCAACCAGGAGGTGAGATAGCAAGAGGACTTCGACCTAATCGCATACTTACAAACTATGCACAGACCCAGCGAAAGGTGCAAAGGTCTTCTACGACCTGGCAATCATGGACGATCCGCCTCTACGATGCATCGTTGGTACTGACGCGTATAGCATGGTTACCAAGAAGGTAGAGACATACAGTGAAAACATCAGGAAGTTCGAGAAGTGGAGCAACAGCACAGATGTTGATGGATACAGAGCGCCAAACTAAACTCTGGTGACGGAGTGCCGAAGAACAGGATGGTCCAAGCAATACGGAGATGGAATAGCGGAGGATGACCATGTTACGCTCAAGCACAGCTGGCGCCGAATCACAATATCTCTTCAATGACGTTCCCCATGATCATGGTTTTCCTTGCAGTCTCCACCTGTCATACTGATATTGCAGAG